CCCGGGCCGGGGCCCGTGACCATGGGTATCGCGGAGTCCACGCCGGACGAGCTGCCGTCGGACGCCGAGGAGCAGCTGCGCAGCGGCGAGCAGCAGCTGGAGCTGAGCGGGCGGCGGCTGCGGCGGCTGCCCAGCGCCGTGTGCGCTCTGAGCCGCCTGCAGAAGCTGTATGTGAGCGGCACCGGGCTGCGCGAGCTGCCCGAGGAGATCGAGGAGCTGCGCGAGCTGCGCATCCTGGCGCTCGATTTCAACAAGCTGGAGCGCCTGCCCGACGGCCTGTGTCGCCTGCCGCGCCTCACGCGTCTCTACCTGGGCGGCAACCGGTTGCTGGCGCTGCCACCCGATTTTGCGCAGCTGCAGAGCCTGCGCTGCCTCTGGATCGAGGGCAACTTCCTGCGGCGCTTCCCGCGGCCGCTGCTGCGCCTGGTGGCGCTGCAATCGCTGCAGATGGGCGACAACCGGCTGCGCGCGCTGCCGGCGGAGCTGCCGCGCATGACGGGCTTGCGTGGCCTCTGGCTCTACGGCAACCGCTTCGAAGAGTTCCCGCCCGCGCTGCTGCGCATGGGCCGGCTGCACATCCTCGACCTCGACCGCAACCGCCTGGGCGGCTTCCCGGACCTGCACCCGCTGCGCGCGCTGCGAGTTTTCTCCTACGACCACAACCCGGTCACTGGACCCCCGCGCGTGGCAGACACCGTTTTCTTAGTTGGCGAGGGCGCCGTCGAGCGCATGGCTGAGCGCGACGAGCCCATTCCGCGGCCGCCACCCCGGCGTCCAGTCCGGGCCTTTGAGGATGAGGAGGAAGAAGACCTGCTCATAGGAGGCTCAGGACCCAGGGCCCTGGGGCCTGCCAGGGACAACCTCCGAGCCTTGGAAGCCCCTCCAGGATTGGGCACCTGAGCCTCTGCCTTGAGTGATGGGCTTGGCCACTCTGGAAGAAGGGGCTCTAGGAGGCCGCGGCTGTCTGGATATAGGGTGCCGCTGGGCCTCTTGATTGGGGCAGTGAAGGAGAGGCATTGAGCAAGCTGCCCGGCACAGGCAACCCTGAGGCTATCTTCAGACACTCCTGGGTAGTAAGAAAGACTCCCTGGACAGACCTCTGGGCAATTTTCAGACCAAGAAGTCTGGGATAGAGCCACTGATGGTACAACAGATGAGCTGGTTCTCACCTGGAACCAGGGTCACCACTATCCACAGAATCACCCCCACTCTGACACTGGATGCCCAGGGTGCCTATCACTTTCATCTGGGGTTTGCATCTCCTAGGCCTACCCTAGCTGTTGCTGGAGCCATTACTTCTGGGGTGGACGGTATGGAGGCAATACTTTTCCTCCGGGTGTGTGTTTGGGGGAGGGTGCTGGTTCTGGCCAGAAGTAGGGCATAGGGACTCTGTCTAGGACAGAAGCAGGGCATAGATTCGGGCCTAACACCTTAGCCTCCCTCAGCTCTCCACCAGGTCCCCGATAACTGTATGGAGAGGAAGACAGGGTCTCCACCCACCTTTCCCTCTGATCTCTTCTCCCAGCGTGTGTTGAAAGATTGCTGGGCAAAGAGATCTTCCCGCTCCAATTGCCTGTGCCCTCAGTTGTCACGTTTGAAAAGAAGCCACTGTGCCTCTAGGGCCTCCTGGCCCGAAGAAGAGAGAGGGCTTCTGCACTCCCGGAGGCTGCTCAGGGCCTCTCCACTGCTGGCACTCTCCATTTCCTTACATGGGCACAGCCAGGGTGGCTGGCACGGCATGGGGCACTGGACGGGCACCATGTGCCTCTACTCCGTCACCAGGGACAGCCTCCGAGGGGGTGAGGAGACAGGCGCTGCAATTCCCAGGGCCAGATCCAAGCAATAACAGGAGGAAGGGGCCAGAGGACACTCAGGGACACTGTCAGGGGCTGGAGCCCCAGAAGGTAGTGTTTTCTTTAGGAAGAAAAAAAAAACAACACAACTGGTTGTAAACATAAATTATATTTCTTGGAGAATGTGTGTTTCCCACATGTCTATTTATTTATAAGCCCGGGAGCACCAAGTTCCACTGCTGTGGGTGCACCTCCCCCACCCTCGTGCCCCGACTCTGTGTCAGAATGACCCCGGCCAACTGTTGTGTCCTTCCTGTCTGGGCAGCAGAAAGAAATGGCCTCGGCTCCCTGAAGCTGGGGGTCTGGCATCTTTGGGTGCCGTCTTCCTCACTCTGGCCCGCCCCACCCTTGGTGGTGCTGTGGGGGTCATTTACAGCTCAGGTCTCGGGTTCTGGCTCTCGCACCCGCGGGGCCGGCCTTTCTCTACTCTCTCCCCAGTACTGGCCTCTCCCACTCACTCTGTGACTGAACTTGCTCCATTCGCCTTTGCCTTTCTCAGCCCGAGTTCCCTCAGTTTTGGCCTCTATCACCATGGCAATGAGGACTGATGTCATATGAGGCCAAAAGGTCAGGCTCAGCCCAGTAGCTGGGCTCTGGGTAAGGAGGAGGCTGGGCATGGATCTGGGGTGAGATAAGACTGTGGATAGAAAGAGTGAGAAAGTGGGAGATTGGAAGCTGCCTCTTTTACAAGGAGTAAGACTAGTGCGGGACCCAACTGCAGGCGTTCTGTCTTTGTTGAGGTGCCACTGGGGCTCTGGGCCGCCTTGGAGTCTGATAACTTGGGGGTAAGGATTTGGGAGGAGAAGTGACCAGATGGGTGGGTGAGTGTTTCAGCACACCAGGAACTGACCTCTTAACCCAGAACTTGCCAGGTACAGGGGAAACCCCTGGGGACCAGGTCTGGCCCTTTCCTGGTTCAGCTGTTGGCTGAGTGATCTCGATGAAGTCTCGGTCTTCTGGGCCTCAGTTTCACCATCTGTAGCTGAGGAGTTGGTCTGATGCTCCAGCCCAAGCCTCGGCTCACTGTTTATCCACTGTCCTTCGGTGTGGGGTGGCAGCTCAGTTTCCTTCTGGTGTTTCTGCTCCCCTGCCCTGGCTCACCCGAGGCCAGATAGTCTGGGCAATGCCCTACAGTGTGGACTCCCCTGGGACACCCGGAGGTGTTCAGGTTCCCCCATTTTTTTTTCTTTGTCCAGTGTGGCACCCTTGACTATGGCTGTCTACTAACCAAGTGTGAGCTGCTGAGGCTGTCTGGAGCAGATGCAGTTTCTTCTAGAAAGTTCGTTTGGTTAGAGTTCTTGCTGCTGTCTGAGGGCCGTGTTAGGGATCTCTCTGAGAAATGAGGCACCTGGGGGAGGAAGGAGTGTGGCCAGTTACCCTGACACAGCTCCCCTTGGTGGTGGTGAAGGCACTGCGTGAGGGGTCCCAACATCACCTCCACCCTTACTTGGCCCCTGGAGAGAAGGAAGAGATGTGGTCTCCTCTACAGTCCCCACACAGTCTCAGGGTAGTCAGAGGGGGCGCAAATGGGGAGCAGGACAGGAAAGCTCTAAGGAGCCGGCTGTGTGTCAGGCCAGAGCAGAGGCCACAGGAGCCGGTGCTTAGAGCAGGAGGAAAGGCCAAAGGAGCATGAGAGCAGGGCAGAGGAGGTGCTAGGGCAAGAAACAGGGTGAAGAGGGTCTGTGATCTGCCCATTGGCCTATTTGTGGACTCCTAACCCAGTGCTCAGCTCACACTATGGAAGAGCTACTCCATTCTTGGCTGGCTGGCAAGTTGGCAAGTGAGATGGATGAGAATCACAGCCAGTCTCCTCCCCTCGGACCCTCAAGTCTCTAGACTGGTTCCCAAGCCTCCAGGTCAGCTGACCGCTTGACTGGCAGGCAGGGTAGCTTTCCCGGCTTTGCTACTGCCCCTGCAAGGGCTTGGTGAAGGGGGGAAATGGGGTGCTTGGGAACCGGAGACCCTCCCCAGAAGCCCCTCCCCTCCTTCCACGCAGCCACACTGGCTTTGACGTCTCTCCCAAAGCTTCCCCAAGACATCGGGGCACCATGACTCTGAAGATGGACATTTATTACCACAGCCAGGCGTGCCACACAGAACGTGTATTCAGACAGGGAACCCTGCCCAAGGGCTCACAATCTAAGAGACGCCACACTCACACACATGTGCACACACAGACACATACACAGACACACACAGGACCCAGACACGGGGAGGGGATGACTTCACAAGAAACAGATGGGGTGGGGGGAGGCGGCTCAGGATGGAGCATCAAGCATGTTCAGATTGTTCTTTGGGCTGTCGTTCTCAGGGAGAGGAGAGCCCAGCATTCAGGAAGGCCAGTGAGACCTTTGGAAGCAGAGTATCTGGGAGGGACTTGCAGGAGAAGGTGGTTTCAGGCACGTGAAGGGATGGATGGGTAGCTCAGAGCAGGCAGAGAGTAAGCCAGAAGTTCAGAGGCCCCGAGCCAGTGGCCAGGGTCTGGCACCTCTGCTGTGGTTCCACTTATGCTAAAGCTGTTTCCTGGGTTTACTTTCCCAAAGGAAAGCTAAACCAAACCCAGGCTGGTTTAGGGTTCCCCTGAAGCTACTTACCTGACCCCAGGACTCCCTCCAACCCCTGGAATAGAAGCCAGAAGAAGCTGCGTTTTACCCCCTCCCATACGCATGTACACAGTGGGCAGGCGCTGTGCCTCTGAGCTAACCCCAGCCTGCAGACACCTTTTCAAAGGGATGCTTAGACCATATTGTAGGGAGTCGAAGGGGCAGAAGCAGGAAGGGTGGGAAGCCTCAGAACAGGGGTACTTAGTACAGACTCAGGAGGCAGCTGCTGGCCCCCGATGTGGGGGAACAGAGGTTATGTGACCCTCTTCACTCCAGAGTGGGACAGGGACACTAAGGGGTTCCCTTAGTGTCTATCTGAAGCAGATATCGTTTTCCTTCTGCAGTACCCTGAGAACTGGCAGGCCAGCTGCCCTGGACCGAGCAGGGAGCGGCTAGGAAATTATTGCTTCTTTGTGAAGAGAGGACACAGAGGGCCCAGCAAAGGACATGGCTTGCCAGAGCCACAGACAGGAGGGCACTGGAGTCCAATCTCTCAGACTCTCAGGTTGGAACTTGCCAATGGGGCTCTTCAGATTGGAGAGATTTTTTTTTCTCAACCATAGAGCGTCAGCTTAGACAGCAGGTTGGAGAAAGGCCACAGTTCCAGCAGGCTGACCTAGAGCTCAGTCTAATCTTTTCTTTCCTCATCAGGACCTGGAAGGAGACATTGTCCCCAAGTCATAGCAGCTGAGCAAGTGATGGTGAGGTGGTGGTTGGGGGCCCCACTTTTGCCTTTCCTGCCTACCAGGGATGGTGTTAAGGGTCCTCTGGGAAGAGAGGGCGTGCACTGGAGAGCTGCAGGAAGGAGAGCCAGCTACTTCTAAGCACGACTGTAGGCCTGACCCAGGACATGCAATGCTCTCTGGTGGGTGTGGAGATGACAGTCTAGATCTGAGAGGAAGCTCAGGCAGGTCCGAGCCACTGGTGAAAAATCAAGTCCCAGAGGTGACAAAGTGAGTGGAGAGACCCTGGACCCCCCATTCTCCCCACTCCCCGCTGCTGCTTCCCTCGGAGGAAGAGCGAGGGCTGGGTGGGACCCACAGAGGAAACAGCCAAGGCCCTACTTTTTCACGATCCTTTATTTATCAGAACAGGCCTTGCCACAAAAAGCAGGGCCCATTCCCACAAAAATATGATTTTGCAAAGAGGAAGATTTTGCTGGCTTAGAGGGTGCATATGGTGGAAAATTTTTGTATGGTTCTTTTTTCCCTTTTTTTTCTTCATTTCTCTTTGCTGTAATTTTTCTCTTTTTTTATGATAGTGGATTTTTGTTTTATTTTTTATAAAACACTTGCGCTCAAGGACTCAAACACAATACAAACAGCGCCACCAGTTCCCGCCCCTGGGGGCCCCAGCTGAGCTGGGAATCCCTTGGCTTTTTTTTTTTGTTGTTGTTTTGTTTTTTTTTGTCTTTTGTGGCTGTTTTCCTTTGTCCCTTCCCTGGCCTCTGGTGCCAGAGGGCAGGTGGAGGGGTGTGCTGGGGCAGGTGGGATTTGTATAGCAGTCACATGGAGAAGATGATCACAAGAAAGGATACCTAAACAACATAACAGCTAGGTCCAGGGTGCCCACCAGATGTCAGGTGACACTCAGAAAGGGGCTTGGGACACAGTGAAGAGACAGATCGGCTCTGGTGGTCCCTAGAGGCTCTGTGGGGTAGGGTGGATGGGCAGGTGGGCCTTGCTTTCAGGTGTCAGCGACGGCTTTGCTCTGGGTAGCACCTTCAGAGCCCTCCTGCCTCGATCCTCTAGGTCAGGTGATGGCGGCCTCACAACCTCCCCCATGAGGTAGGTGAAGTATTATTACCATCATTTTACAGATGGGGAAACTGAGGCCCAGGGAGTGTGGGTGACTTGCCCAAGATCCTAGGATGGTGGTAGCAGAGCTCTGGTGCCCTCCCCACCCTCAAGTTCCCCCCTTTCCCTGCTCCCCGATTACCCTAACTGTCCCCTACCCAGACTCCTTCTCACCCAACGGGCTCTCGTGCAAATCCACTCGGCTCTTAGCCCACCATCTGGAACCTCTTGCCGGTGACCCCACTCCAGCTACGTGTGGGGGCTGAGGAATTCCAGGTTGGGTCACCAGAGTTCCTAGGTAGGGTCTGAGAGGAACCAGCTCTGTGGGGGATGCTCTCTGAACTGACTAGTTAAGATATGCATGAGCAAGACTCCCATAAATCCTCTGCCGTGCTTACACTCATTGGTGGAAGTTGGCTGGGTCCCTCAGATGGCCCTGTGGGAATGCTCAGGGAACTGAGGCAGACAGAGTAAAGGATAGTCACTATTCCCCTCATTTTCAGACTCTTGACAGTGCCCTTTCCTATTTCCACACAGCCTCTGGGGTCCCTTCCTGGGGGCTACACCCAGCTGGGCAAGGCAGTTGGGGAGGGTCCCACTTAAAGCAAAAGCTGCGGTATAGAAACATTTGGATCTACAAGTAATATGGGTAACTATTTGTTTCACAATAGAATTCTTCACCCTACAAATGATTCACCTACAACATAAGAGATTCCTCCAGGTACC